TTGCCTTTGTGAGTCCGCCTCCTCTGCCGGTGGATGGTAGACGGGAATGGCAACTTCTATGGTACTCTTGAGCTCGGGGCTGGGAGCTGGAAGCGATATCTGGACCGAGGTTCCAGGTTTGATCTCTGCTACACCCAGCTCGTCATCAATGAGTGACTGAAGTATGGCTTTACCTAGCGCAGCCCATGTAGTGCCGACGGGCCTGATTTCATGACGTGAACTCTGTGGGGAAAGGTGAGACTTCGACGCATGGAGATCCTCGACTTGCTGTGGAAGTGCCGGAAGGTAAGGGAAGGGATCAGCCTGCCTCCTGAGGAATTTCAGAAGGGCCTTTTTCGGCTTCTTGAGAGGAACCTGAGACACGGAGAGTCGGTCGTGCACCGACAACAGAGTTTCACGCAGACGCTCCTCCGCGAACGTCTCCTCCAAGCCTAGCTGCTCCGTGCGCACTTCCAGACGATTCTCATCGTCTGCCAGGACGCTCTCCAGGCAGTACCGCGTGAGACGATAGCTCTGTAGAGTGCTACAGAGCCTTGCGCTCTGTCTCCAGAGATTGAGGTCGGAGTCATCGCGCTCCAGCGCCTCCGCGAAGGCTGCTAGAGCGGCGCTGGCCTGTTCAGTGACCTGGGACGGTAGGTCCGCAGCATCCTGCACATCAGTAGCCTGACCCTCCAAGGCCGCGCGTAGAGCGTCCAACAGGAATTGCCCGTGGTTCTTGTAAGCCAGGTAAATGGTCTGCATCAAAGTGCTCGACGTGGAGTCATTGATGTCGAACTCCGCCAGCGCCTCTGCAGCTCCGGCGCCTGCAGCGAAGTCAATGGGGAGGTCGGAATCCTGCAAGTTGGCGCGCTTGTAGTCGGAGATGGACTCAGGATACTTGAATATCTCGGAGTTTAACAGGGCATCATAGGCCTCCGCGGCCTGCGCATAGAACTGCGGGCCCTGGGAATGAAGCTTCAACGCATTTTGGTACAGTTTGAGCGCCTCCTCAATCTGAATTTCCTTCGTATCGTCGACCTCTTCCTCGATTAGTTCATCGGGCTCGATGTTGAGCGCCGCCCAGCTCGACATGATGTCGGTGTGATTTTCAGGGTGCGCAAAGCTCCCGAACTGCGGTATAAGCCTTGAGGCTGACCGGCCGCATCGCAAGAAGTTGCAATGGCCTCAGACAGCACAGCTCCGACCGAAGAGGGCGCTAGAGTAACAAACCCCGGAAGTAGTTGGGAAGACAAAAAGGAAAGCAAGAAGGAAGGATGGCAGTGATTGATGGAGTGGTTGTTGCACCAGCGGGTGGGTCTAGAGCCAGCCGGCCGCGAGTGAGACGCATTCCGCCCATTAGATGAAATCGCGCGTGTGCCCAAAAAGGAAAGGCGGTACCTGGCCCGGCTGCCCCCCGTGGCAGTTGCTGCCTGAGGTACCGTACTATGTTTTGCCTGAGGTACTCCGTACTATTTCCCTATTGATGATCGGCGGGCGCGGCCGTGACGACGACTTGCACTTGGAAGCCCAGCCAGTCTCCCGCTGTGCGCCTCGCTATCTTTCTTGTCTGTCGTTTGATCTCTGAAAAGGGCGTATCGCTTCCAGGACCCGAGTTTTATCTCGTCTTGCTTGTCCCCTTACAATCAAGTGCCTGCGCCATGGTCGCGCCCGCAGTGCCTGAGTAAGGCATTCCCTCTCTCCCCACCCCTCCATTTACGTGTTCTTGCCGACTCGGACTCGCTATCTACAGCTCAATTGGGCCCACCGTTGTTGACCTGGCACTGACAACCCCCTGAATGTCTTTAGGATCTATGAGGAGGAGGACATCTACGCCGCTGTCGATGCACGCACTGAATCTCTCCAAAACCTTCGGGAATTAGGTCCGCCCGACTTGGTTTACTTGGTCAAACAACCCAAGACCAGCTCTCATCGCCAGGTACGTTCGACGTCGATCGACCCCGGTCGGAGTGCGCAGAGATAACAAGAGCTGACTTCGCGGCGATACAATCACAGACCGGAGTCTATCACCATGTCACCGGTGTCGATGCCTCGTCGTCCGCCAGCTTGGCCGCCTATGTCAACACACTCACCTTCTCCCCGCTGGATAAGACACACAAAGTGGTTTCGGGGATCTACTGGTTCGGCCATCGGTTGAAGCATCTGCCAGTCTAGGTGTGCTAATGTCTACGCAGCTGTTACAATGCCTTCTCCCACCTCGACATGCGCGTGGAAGTGAAAATCCCGGGCAGTCTGGAAAGCTACTGTATCGATGAGCGGGGCGACAAGCGGGTTGCGACGGAGGCGTTGTGGTTGGAGACCTTTCTTTGCGGGATTCTGAGAGCATATACCTACGCGGACGATGGCAGCGGCGATTCAATTCGCAAGATCGTGGGAGTCCGGCGATTCAACCCCGTGACGAATACTGAGATGGAGCACAAGTTCCTCGACGCCGCGGAGAGACTGTTCTTCCTGGGTATGCCTCTTCATTATCTTTCCACCGTGGTACATCGCTGACACTGTCATATTAGGCCGACAGCTGAGTTCCGATCCGGAGACGCAAGTGCCGAACACTGTCAGCAACCATCTGACGTCGGGTCTTCTGAAGTACATACAAACCACGGGACGCTACACCTCCGGCATCAATCTGTTTGAGAAGCTGCGCACACGAGACGTCGAAGTGTCGTCGCTTCTGGCCCGAGTTCTGATCATGGCCGATGAGGAGGTGCAAGCGGTGAGACTGATCTTCGACGCTTTACAGGATGTGCCGATGGACTACGCCCTGCTTGACTGCCAAGCAGCGTTCTGCCAGAGCAAAGGCGAGGGCGAGATGGCCTTGGAGTGTGCCAAGCGGGCGGTCACCGCCGCTCCCAGTGAATTCAGCACCTGGGCCCGACTGGCCGAAGTATACGTCGGTTTAGAGCAATGGGATCTCGCGTTGTTGACTCTGAACTCGTGCCCCATGTTCACTTACCAAGATAAAGACACCCCGCGCATGCCTCAACCAACGCGCATCATGCTGCCTATTCTTGCCGAGAGCATGCTGGAGGAGATCGATGAAGGACAACCGCGCCAGGGCGACCCTGCCGACTATGTCCACCCCTCCCTGCGCCGTCTCCACGCAGCTAGCTACCAAGGAACCTTCCTGAAGGCCTACAACCTTCTGACCAAGGTCGCGGCGGCCATCGGCTGGGATCAGCTCCTCAAGATCCGCAGCGAAGTGTTTGTCATGGAGGAGGAATACCGCGTTGAGCGCCAACATTCTACCTCCAAGCACACGCGCAGCAACACGCGCACTTCCGCGGAGGTCAACGGGGGCGATGGGCAGGAAGATGAGGACGACCACCACGACAACGACGCGAACACGGAGGGCGCCGAGAAGGAGGACGAGGGCTCGCCCGACGGCCTCAAGGACGAACAAGTGGAAAGTTCGATCGAAAAGCCCGAGCAATCAATGGCATCCGAAGTGATCAAATCCGGCAACGAAGATGTAAGTCCTCCCCTTCCCACCGATTCAAGAATACTTTTCCTCGACAATACTAAGACAACTACCCACTAGCCCGACCCCTCCCATTCCGCGTACACGCAGTTCCGCAACAAACGCCTCTGCGAACGCTGGCTCGACAACCTCTTCATGGTCCTGTACGAGGACCTCCGCATCTACACCATCTGGCGCACGGAGATGGCGCAGTACCGGCAGCAGGCGATCGAGTACAAGAAGTCGGCCACCGAGTGGGAGATCCTCGGGGAGCTGGCCGAGCGCCTGCACCACTTCGACGAGGCGATCGAGGCCTACCAGCACGGCCTGGCGATCCGGTTCGCCCCCAAGGCCATGCACGGCGTGCTGAAGCTGTACGAGAAGAAGAACGACACCCGCGGCATGCTGGGCTCGTTGATCCGTCTGATCGCCTGGCAGTACCGGTGGTACTCCGAGGTATGCTCACACCCACCATTACAACCAATCCCTTACCCCCCCCTCCCCACTTCCAAAACATAAGCTAATGCACCGCACGAAAAGTTCTCCCCCGAACTCCTCTTTCTCATCCGCAAACTCATCGAAGACGAAGGCGCCGTCAAGGTCCGGAGTATCGTCCAGGCCACCAACCTCCCGCAACCCGTCCTCGACCTCACGCATCAGTACTGTCAACTGTGCGCCACCTTCCGGAGCAGTGGCAGTGATGGTTAGATGATTTCCATGTTCTCTAATTCTTTCCCGCGCCGTGCTGGGCTGGGGTTTGTTATGGTTTCTGGGTGGTGTAGGTCGATGCAAGGGGGGATGGTGCTCCAGGGGAAAGGGATGCGGGGGATGCGATGCGGGTGCCGTGTAGCGAGCGGACTGGAAGAACCGGAAGGAAGGGAGGAAAGTAATACAACTAACTCATATCCACCACACCACACCACCCCACACCATACCACACAACTCAAATTTCCTGTATGACTTATGTGATTCCTAGTCGAGATGAACGAATTAGTTTTCAAGTTTGATGTTCGGGTGGATGAGGGAGATGGGAGTATGCATTGTAGTCCTGTGCTGAGGTCATGGGTGGGCTTTTGCTTAGCTGCACGGGGAAAACGGACCTCGATTGCTGTCGGGTTGTTTGTTTGCTTGATCCACAGTGTTCGATCTTTCAGTGAGGGTATTGTGCTTAACGTCTTGAGGGAGATCTGTGCCAGACAGCAGGAGGTGCGTATTGTTCTGCTAGGCGGTCAAGTCAACTGATGGCATTGGGGGGCTATCTACCAACCGCTCTCCCTAACAATCCCAAGCGCGGGTTTACTACGGTCGGTCAGATCTGAGGCGAAACAACAGTTTATCATCGCAACCAGCGAAATCCATGATAACCTGAAACTACCCAGCCGGTTCTCTACCGGCCAGTATGATAAAGATAACACCCTGGAATAACCGAAGTAGATAACGATGATAGCTCACGGGGCTTGAGAATTACCAAACATCTTGAAAGAATCAATTCAAAATCGCTGCCTTGGGGTAGAAGACCAAATAATACGGGGCACAAGAACAGTGATCACTCGTCATCGCCCTCGATATCCACCTCAGGCTCCTTGGGAACGACACCTCCCTTGGCCTTCGTGGCCGCCTTGGCGGGTCCACTCTCCTTTGCGGTATCATCTTCCTCTTCGAGGTCATCGTCAGGGAGCTCTTCCTCTTCCTCTTCCTCTTCCTCCTCATCATCAACGCCGTTCTCGGCATCGTTTTCGCCGCTCTGCGCAACCTCTTCCTCCTCCTCTTCCTCGTCAGCCGGAGGAGCTGGAGCGGTCTTTCGTTTCTTGGGCGCAGGGGCTGTCAAGGATATGAAATTAGCGCATGGTCATATTTTCAGTAGATGTATCACTATGCTGGGCTCTTTTTCTGGAATCGTAGGGACAGGATAGGCAAGGGAGGCAGATAAGAATGAAACATACCTTCTTCTTCGGGCTCTTCAGCCTCACCCTCGGCCTCCTCGTCAAATTCCTCCTCCTCCTCCTCTTCTTCCTCGCTGCCAAGGTCGCTTTGCTCTACCTCGGAGTCTTCATATCTGCTGGTTTGTTAGTGCTTGATAGGAATTGTGATTGGCAGTGATGCGATTGTCTTTATGGGGCGGTCTGGGAAAGCGCGCGAAGAGAAGGGGGAGCTCATGCGCCATGAACAGGAAAGAGCAACGAATGCGAATGCAACATAAGGCAGGGCAATACTCACTCTTCTTCTTCCTCGCTGTCTTCAGGAAGCGATTGAAGCTCCTCCTCTTCCTCGGCTTCTTGCTTTCTCTTACGAGTAGACATGATGTATAGTGATTAGGATATTAGGAAAGAGAGGAACAAGTCAATTGCGCAATTGCACAACTAGTGGATGAATTTGTATGGATAGAGTTAATGGTGAAAAGGACAAGGAAAGGTCCCAAGGACCGAACAGGTGTATGAAAGAGGGAAAGAGAGTGTGTGAGAGTAAAGTAGGGAGAGGGAGACGAGAGAGGGGGGGAAAGAGCAAGCTGGGGGTGTGAGGGTAGTATAAGAGGGAAACGGGCAGAGAGAGGGGACGACCGGCAGGGAACAGAGGAAACGGACGGCCAGCCAGCCAGCCAGCCAGGACAAGCCTCCTCACAATCCAAGGGAAGGGGGGGAGATCCAGTTTGGGTGAGGGGACAGTCCCGGACGAGGGAATGGATGAGTGAGCATTAATTCGGTCAGTCAGTCAGCCCGGCAGTTCGTCAGCCCCAAGCAGTGATTAGCAGCAGCAGCAGCAGCAGCAGCAGCAGCAGGAGCAGCGCAGCGGCGCGAGAAAAGCGCGACCGGAAAACCAACACAAGCTAAACAGGAAGAAGAAAGCTGAAGCTGCTGCTACTTCTGCTCTAGGTCTGGGGCTCTCGTTCCCGTCGCATTGCGCGTCGCGTTAATGGTGCCGAGGCCGTGCGCCTAGAAGTTCCTGGGCAAGAGTTGAGTGACTCCGCAGTGATGACATGACGATTATCACCGCGGTAATCGCTGCTTGGTCGGTTGATTCTCAGCTCACCATGGAACGATAACACTCCCAGAGACTTCAGGTCCCCTGGATCTGAAGAAAGGTAGACATATGGATGAGTGGGAGATTAGAGGAAATCATAGTCGAGTGTCCTAGAGGAAGAGTTAGGAAGAGCGTGGGAGGAGAAAGAGAAAGGAAGGGAAGGAGCTTGAGGGAGGGGAGAGAAAGTGCAAACAGACCTGAAGATGGCGGGTGAATGGCGTGTATGGTAAGTGGGATGACAGTACCGGACGGGGCGGGTGCGCACAGACACTCTGGGGCAATAGCAGCCATTGTAATCCACCTTACCAGGGCGGTACCGGCAGTGGGCTTAACTTGTTCTCTGGACGTGGCAAGAAAAGAAACGAAACTCATGATGTCAACCGCTTGTCACACTCACTCTTGAGGGTCCGGCTATTACGCAGCTTACTCGAAGAGGGTAAGGGTAGACTCAATTACTGCAGGGGAAATAATAACGCAATGCGGACTCTGCTGGAGATGCCCTGGCGAAAAGCACAGACTTTCCGAGGCTAGTGCAAGCTTACACAGACTTACTCCTCGCTCCCCAGCAACTTAATTACATTACTTGAAGTCCCATTGAGCAACAGCTGTTGAGCTGCCTCGGGTTATTTACATTCCATGCCTCTGTCCACCGAAAGAGATTCCAGAAAAACAAATGCAAACTATCATAAGCCCACCGTACTACCAAAGAAGTTTCTTTAAAAACCACAGAATGAAATGAATTGAAATGAAGTACAGCAGTACATCAGCAATGCTGTAGCACAACCCAACACTAACTACTATAATCAACACCCTCCCCGCCCCCCCCCGAAACAGTCAATCGACTATTTCACTGCGGAGGCCAGGGGTAAATCCCCTTAGACTACTAGTAGTCTCCCGGGCCAGATCGCACAGGGTTTCCCACCTCCACAGCCGCTGCCCGGGAATCACCAGGCTCCAGCTAATCTAGCTCATCATCATTCTCCCCCAAAGAGGAAAGCGCGAAACCTCCAGTCCGGATCTGCCGTCGTGCGCTGCGCCGTCCACATCTCCTTGTACAGCGCGATCGCAACCTCCCCTCACCTCAATTTTTCTAATTATCTGTGGAATATTCTCCCGGAGAGGGGTGGGAGGTGATAGAGAAAGTAGTCGCCGCTTGCCGACCTTCTAAAATTGAATGGCCATCGATACACCCGACCGGCTTCCATCCCGATTATGGTGGAGGGTATTGTTGAACTCGAGGACTATCCGCTGAAGAGACGGCAACAATGTACCCAGTATTCAGGTTCGCCTAGACGAGTCCAATATATCTATATACGGTTTCTCTCGTCTAAGCCGCATCTATTGAGCCAGAAACTCAAAACTCGCCATACTGGGATCCAGTAAGTTCTCATCCAACCCAAACCCATACGTGCCCACCATATCGTATATCAGATCCGGCGGCGGGAACCCTTGGGCCATGGCGTTGGCGCCCCCGGGGACATCGCTGCTCCCTTTCGCATCGGCGGCCGCGGAGTCGGCCACAGCCGTGCCATTCGCGTGCCACGAGTCCCACGAGTCGAACCGCTCCAGCATCTTTCCGAGCCCACGGGCGATATGCCTCGTCAGATGTCTCTCGCCCGCGGAGACACAGTTCAGCAGCTCGATCACCCGCTCCACTAGACGTCGGACCTGGCGGCCGTCGAGGCTGAGGTAGGCCGAATTCCAGTTGATGGCAACTTTCAGCAGAAACACGGCGGAGAACGTGATCATCGTGTGGGTGAAGATCGGGACTCCCACGATTGCGTCCCGGATATCGGGTTCTTCTAGCACCATATTTAAGCACGCCATGGCGGATGCGATGGCCGTGTTCGCCGACTCTTTGCGATCCATCGAGAAGACGGGGGTATTGGACGGGGACAGAGCCCGCAGGGAAAGCGAGTTCAGCTGGAATTTGGCGAAGTGGTAGTGAAGCACTACCCCTTTAGATGGATAGGTCCGCACATAAGGGCTATCGCCTATACCGGGGGCAGATACGTCAGCAAGCGTAGAAAATTCATTGTCCAGGCGAGGACATACCAGATCGTGGCTGCCACAGCAGCCGCCATTGGTCGATGGCCACATTGAAGACTCGTAACTGACCAAAATCTTCCTCGGTGAATGGTTGCTCGGTATCACTTCCAAAAGTCCGGTAAGCTTCCGTGAGAATCATGAACAGCGCCACCTGTGCCATGAGCCGGATGTCTCCCGGTACGACCAACGGCGATTGCAGAAATGCCTCGTAGTTTCTGATAGCGGCATCTTCGTGGATCACGGGTGGTCGTCCGTACGCGATACTGAAGTGGTGATCGCACACATACATCAGGTACCAGAGCTGAGCACGCTCGTACTGGTCGTTGTGACCGCGCATCATCTTATGGTAGCTCTGGTGAAGACCTAGTTCGGTGGCGATGCGAACGGCATGGCCGGATAGCTTCCAGCTCAGCTCCGATAGCCAGAACGCCCCGATGCAGAGCGCGCGAATGTCATCCAGGGTGTGAGACCGTGTCAGAGACATGCTGGACACAAGTGATACATACTCGTTGTAGCATCGGTTCAGCGTCTCCGTACGGTTCGGGATATGAAGTGCTGCAACCGTCAGGACGGCAGTGCAGAGAAGCGAAGAAGCCCGACGGACGGAAGTCAGATCACGATGAACCAGGATAATCCCACCCCAGAGCAGCTGGTTCATCGTCCTGCTGAAGTAGGCAAAGAGCTCTTCGGCCTCGTGAAGTGAGATCAACCCGCGCGAGATGAAGTCCTCCTCCAGAAGTGTCACTTTGGGTTGTTCGATGGGATTATTCCGCAGGTTGCGCAGCTTGGTGACTTCGTATAGACTCCGCATGGGCGCTGGCACTAATTCGCGATCTTGAAGATCCGGTTCCTGAGAAGGCTCGCGTGTAACATCCATTATCAGCCCCGGCTCAGCCGATTGTTTGGTTGCGGGCGACCCATCATATGAAGGTTGCAGGTCAGACTGAGACTCGGCAGGACTGGTGCCACTTTGGTTGTCACCGCCGCCAGCAAACGATGAAAGCTCTGAGAACCCTCCTTGACGCAAAAGATGCGAGACAGCCGCCTGCAGCTGTCGGATTGTGGCTGCAGCTTGCGACTTCCACCTGAGTGGTTCGAGGTGTCAGTGTGGACCGTACATTAACAGCTAATATAGTGTAAACCAGAGAGACACTTACATCACATCATCGTCAACAAACTTCTGGGAGAAGTCGTTCACCGTGCATTTTATGCCACTACGTGTGCATTTTGTGCAGCTTGTTTCTCCTGCTTTGAACTCACAACGTATCTTATGTCGCTTGCACTCCGCGCCTGAAATACTAGTTCAGTATCTGGCGTGTAGAGCTTTCCGTAGTGCCATAAGGAGGGAGTGGAACCGAAGGCGGGGCTTAGGAAATATTGCAACCAGGGGAACTCACACGCGCGAGCTTTGGAGATCCTTGGGGCCGAGGGTCGACCATCAGGGATAAGAGACGGCCGTCGGCTATGCTGGGGTGGACTTTCGTCCAGATTGGCTTCATGTGAAGAGCGCTTCATGGTGTTCGACTGCCGATGAATCGGGGATACTCCGGCATTATGCAGCCAGCAAAGATGGGCAGTTTGGCGAAGAGGATCTACAAGCGATCCACTAACTTTGCCCGTTAATTGAGGGGCACAAACGAAGGGAGAAATCCTAAATCCTCTTAGAACAAAGAGCTGGCAACCAGCAGAATGGTCGCAGAAGAGAGACGTTTGAATTGAGGTGGGGAAAAAGAAGAATGGGAGGTGACGATGGCGGGTCAACCCCGCTTCAATCCACTCGACTCGACCCTGTTGATCCTCAACACCTCAGCTTCAGGCTTCTGGGTTCTACTGCCCGCCATGGAAGTCGATGATGCGATAGCTCACTACCATTCTTCTCGTTTTGAAAGAGAAAAAACTGCCTGAGTGCACCTGTGCCACAACTGCGATCTCCTGAGCAACCCAACCCTCCCATTTGTTGACATTTTTCCTATCCAGACGGTGTTTCAGGCACGGGATCTGGGGAAAACACTGCGGGGTAACACCGCAAACTGGCAAATCTTCAACCATCACCTCCTCCATCTTCAAGAAACTGAGCCTCCGTCCAACGAGAAACACACTTCTAAGGCAACTATGCAAGCTAGCTCAGTGGCGCCTCCACTGAACTAATGCCGTGGTGGCTGACATCTTCCGATCTCTGCCGTCATTTTTCGAGATTAAGAAAACTAGCGCATCTCGCCGACCAGCCCAATTCCCAAACCCAAGTGGCCTCGCGCACTTCGGTCCTGACAATTTCCATGACACAAGCATTTACCAAGCTCAGCATGAGAGCTTCTTAGGATAAGTATGTCTCCGGGTTAAATCCGGGGCTTGTGGAGAAGATATAATCTTCATCTCGGAGTTGATGCGAGCCTGCGGAGGATAGTCCGATCATCATCATATCGACGTACTCCACCCAGCGAGAGGTTTGCGGAAATCACTGAATAACTATGTAAAAGCTAACTGGAGTCACCTCTGATACTCCTTTATCCTGGCCACTTACAACAACATTCGTCGCCAGCATGCCCGGCATCCTCGCTCCTGCTTGAATGACCTGCAAATCAATTTAAGAGCAGAGATGCATTTTTCGGTGGTAAGTACGAGATGGTGGTGGGTTGGGTGTATCGTGACGGTACAGTATCAGTTCAAGGGTTTTGATAAATTGAAATTCTGGCATTGGCGTTATCATCAAAGCGTATATGTACAATCTGCAATTCTCGTTCCCGTCAAGCCGAAAGTGAAGAAAAATACAAGACATTCAGAAGCAAATCATGGTCACATGTAAATCCATCCTTCTTCCCCTGCATCGATCATCAACTGCTCCACCATATCCATTGAAGTATCACGTAACCCTCCACCTATTCAGGTACCGACTGTCGCAAACGAAGGGGTGATAAGAAAGCGGGAAATACTTATTTCCAAACCTGAATAAAGAAAGAAACACCTTAGCAAACCGCACGATCGCGAGAGGGGCTTAGTAGCTCGCCCAGACCTGTCCATCAATAGCCACGAGCCGATTGAACAGCTGATTGCGGGTCTTCATGGCCGTGAGCTGATAGTTCTGCTCCGGAAGCTTGCCGATCAGATTGAGGCCGTCCACCACTTCCTTGCTGCCAACCGCCCAACCGGTCACCAGCTTGCCCTTCCAGCCCAGCCCACCCACCTTGCGCATCTCGCGGATGTCGGAGACGGGCATGGTGAAGAGAACGGAGCTCTTGGAGCGGCGCGCCAAGGTGGGGTCGTCGACTTGCACCGACTGGTCGGTGGTGAAGTACAGCAGCGGCGGGGACTGCGACTGGTCGATAACGAGCACGCCGTGCTTTCCGCGGTAGCGGCCGTCGAACTGCACAGGGCCCGAGGGTAGGGTGATCTGGCCCTTCTTGCGGAGCACACCGACGCGGCCCTTGGCCCGCTTCGAGCCCACAGCCGCTTTAGCCCGGTCCACCGCCAGCTTGCTCTCAATGCCGGTCGCTGTCGTGCCCCGGAAGAAGCCGAGCATCCGGCTCGCGAATCCTTTCTTGGGAGGCTGCGGGTGGATCTCGTGCTGCGTCGAGTCAGTTTGCGGTTGCGGCGTCGGGGCGATGGCCGCGTTGATCTCTTCGTCTGTCGCGTCGAGGTTGATGTCCTCGTTGCGGACGTGAGCGGGTTGATCGGGAGTGGCGTGCAGGGAGTGGGATGGGGGAGGGGGCAGAGGGGCGCCATTGGCTTCGCCGATACGGAGGAGGGTTAGTGTGAGTTGGGCGTTGGTGGGGATGCCCTTGAGGAGGGAGCTGTGGCGTAAATGTCAGTGGATGAAATGATGCTTTCGATGGTTTGGAGGGAGGCATACTTCTGTAGCTCGAGGAGTTTCTCCCAGCGGGGGAATTCACGATTCAGGTATGCCACTCCACGTCTGATGATTGGGTCACCGAAGAATGCAAAGCCCACGCCAAAGGTACTCATCTTGACGAACATGTGGCTGGAGATGATAAGGGACGCGAGGAAGCCTACTGATAGCACGCTCGCCAACCGGAAGTATGGAGTGATCATGGAGAAGGGAGGTGTCGGAGACAGAGCACTGCCGATCGTCAACCACGGATCACCTTGAGGATTCGTGAATACGGGATCACTTACTTGCCAAACCTCTCGTAGGTGTCAATGATGTCGGCAAGGATGCGCATGGCTAGGTTTGCAGCGTTGTAGACTGTATCCCTCATGGGCTCCTTGGTTTTATCGTGAGATTCATCCGTGCTCTCTCCGTGAGCGGCAGTCTGCGCATCCGCTGCACTGGTAGCTATCTCCATGGCATCTGGCACCGATGACTCGATAGGCGCATCTTCGGGAGTTCCCTGGTCATGTTTGCCGGCGACGCTACCCACGGCGACACTGGCAACACTGGTGATGAGATTCGATGCCTCTCTTTCGGCAGCTTCACCCTTCATCTTCTCCGGTGCCCCCGTTATACTGTCGTGAGAACCTAAAACCCCTGCCTTAGGTTTCTGTATACCCCCTGTGTCCGTGCTTACCAACGGAATAGGCGCAGGAGGGAACAGGAATTCGCGAGATTGAGGAGAAACAACCAGGACCAGAAGAACGGCGAAAAGTGTAGGTGCAAGGAGGTCAAGCATCCAGGCAGCGAAGTAGACCTAGTGAGCCAGTCAATGTTACTGCTAATAGCAACGGCCTTTCGATCTTAACCTACAATGCAGAATCCTGCCGTCCGATTGCGCTCCCGCCATGAACGCAGTCTTGCAATATGCTTGACGAAGCCAGTCAAGGACACGACAATACTAGTATAGAACCGCTCGAGGGTTGCTCGCAGTTTGTCCGGGGAGAACTGCTCGTCTTCCGCGCGATTCAGGTCGAGCCGCTGGAGGGGAGCCTCCGGCATTGCTTTGACATAGTAGATTTGCTGCGCGAGTCAGTGCCCAGAGCTCTTCTAGAATGGTTCAGAGATGATTACCTTGTTGAATCGTCGGATGAGCATCCATAAATCCTCATTCGACAAACCTGAGACCACGCGCTCGTGGATTTGTTCCGGCGGTTTGTCCCATCCCACGTCGGTGATAGTGTCGGTATCCCCAGCCCTCTGGGCGAGACCCTTTTCATCCTGGTCTACTTTGGACAAGACATGGCTGTCGGTGGGACCGGAAACGTCGGCAGTGGTGCGCTCAGCGTCTAGGATGCCTGCGCGACTGTTCTTTGTGCTGTAAGATACTTGCTGTGCATTGTTGTTGGTGGTATTAAGTTGAGACATGCTGCAGATGGGGCCTCGAGAAGACCACACATTAGCAGGGATTAGGAGCGGAGTCGAGCAGCATACGCTTGGGAGGAGGAACGGAGTTGGCGCATGTCAAAGGGCTTTTGAAGGGCGAGGTGGGAGGTGGAGGGTGGGTAATCGACGTCATCGCATGATGAGCCAGTCAAGCCCGCAGATCGGAGAACTGGTGTTCCTGTATCTTGCTGGGGAACTTTTAGCTTGATCTCACTGACATATGCGTACCTATTATAACTCCACTCTTGCTATTTGCAAGCAATTGACTTCCTTTCGGCTGAACCTTTTTCTCTTGTGCGACGTTCCAACTCCTGACTTCCGTGCAACTCGGTCTTGTAGTACAGTTGGTCCTGTACCTTTGGTGTAAGAGTATAGTCACCCGCGCAACCAATCAAGGTTCAAGGGGTGCGGCACCGCCATAGTTGAGCCACAATTATATCATGCACCAGCCACAGGTGGCGATTCGCCGAAAGAGGAAATACGCGTGAATCTCTCGGCCAGCGCGTTGGAAGCGAGGTTGAGGTCCAAGCCACAACGTCACTTCGCAGGGCCAGACCTTCGCAAGTGGCCACGCAAGCTGTCCATCGGAAATCCAGGTGTGATGTGGGGATGACATTATTTCTTTCATCTCTTCCATTGGCGTGTCATCGAGAATTGCCGTCTGCCCATGGGGTCTAGCTTTGCCGAAACATGAGCGAAACATGCGCCAATCCCCTGTTGCTGGGGTGGATCAAAGAATGGCTCGACCAGGCACGAGAGCGCAATAGCAAAGGAGCGATCGTGTGAGTAGTGTAGTGTCTTAGATCTCCGGGGGGTGGATATATTGACTGACGCTTGGACAGGTACAAGAAGGCCTATGATTCTATGAAAGCTTGCCCACTGGTCTTCCAACACCCCTCGGAAGCCCAACAACTCAATGGATTGGGTCCGAAACTATGTGATCGCTTGACGGAGAAGCTCAAGGAGCACTGCGAGGAAAATGGCCTTCCCATGCCCGAGCACCCCCAGAAATGTTGGTTCTATGCTTCTACGCTTCCACCGCCTTTTTGGATATTGTTTCGTTCTAAGATCGACGGCAGCTAGGAGTAAAAGGAAATCCGACGAGGGGGGAACAACCGAGACCCAGCCTGCGAAGAAACCTCGGAAGACCAAGGCTAAGCCATATGTGCCAACTCTGCGGTCTGGTCCTTACGCGATTATCTTGGCTCTCTCGACCCTGGCAGAGAATGCGTCCCAGGGCATGACAAAATCACAGTTAATTGAGACAGCGCAGCCGCACTGCGAGACTTCGTTCACAGCCCCGAGCGACTCGTCCAAATTCCATACTGCGTGGGCGTCAATGAAGACCCTCCTTCAGAAGGAGCTTGTCTACGATCACGGCCGCCCACTGAAGAGATACGCTCTCACGGAGGAAGGCTGGGAAGTTGCCAAACGAATCAAGGCGGCTGCGCCGTCAGACCCGAGCCAAAGAACGATATCTTTCCGAGCTGAGTCTGTGAGTTTTTTCTGGCATCTCGGAGCCTGCAGTTCTCGATTATCTAACACGGTTTCCTGGTTAGACTCAGCCCGCGGCAAGCAGTACCATTCCTGATCGCGCACCCAGCAGTGCCGTACCACAGGCTGTACGGCAAGAGAGCATCGGCTACGAAACACTGCCTGAAAATCCCCAGCTCCCTCATGCAATTGATACGGCGTTTGATGGAATGGTCACTCCGATTGTGATCCCACCGAACAGCTTCACGGTCCAGCTGGTTCTGGATGTTCGCGAAGTGCGGTCCTCCCGAGACAGGGACTACCTTGCCAACGAACTCAGCAAGAAAGGTGTCACACCCGAGGTGCGCGCCCTCGAGCTCGGCGATGTCATGTGGGTGGCCAAGTTCCATGATCCCACGTTCCTGTCCCAGTACGGCGAGGAAGGCGACGAGATCATGCTGGACTGGATCGTGGAGCGCAAACGCCTGGACGACCTCATCGGCTCCATGAAAGACGGGCGCTTCCACGAACAGAAGTTCCGACTGCGCCGCTCCGGGATCAAGAACGTCATCTACCTCATCGAAGAATTCACCTTCAGCCAAGACCCCACCGTCACCTCGAAATACGACGAAATGGTCGCCTCCGCCATCGCGTCCACGCAGGTGGTGAACGGCTACTTCGTGAAGCGCACCAAGAACCTGGACGACTCCATCCGCTACCTGGCGCGAATGACCTGCCTGCTGCGCAAGATGTACGGTGCCGCGTCCCGCGAAGCACCGCCGTCTCACACCCTGGCGTTGATCCCCAGTCGACAGCTGTCGTCCTCGGAGTCGTACCTCGAGACGCTCGAGCGGTTCCGCGCCGAGAAGCCGAGCACGACCTTCGCCGTGACCTTCTCGACGTTCTCGGCGTTGACCTCCAAATCCGACGTCCTGACGCTGCGCGATGTCTTCCTGAAGATGCTCATGTGCATCCGGGGCGTCACGGGCGAGAAGGCCTTGGAGATACAGCGGCGGTGGCCGACCCCGCAGGCGTTTGTCCAGGCATTCGAGGCTTTGGGGGTCAAGGACCGAGAGAACTTGGTTTCGGATCAGATGCAGACACTGGTGACGCGGAAGAAGATCGCGAAGGTCTTGAGCAAGAAGATTGCTGAGGTTTGGGGTGAGGATGGATAGGTGTTACAGATTGGCCTTTGGTCGTTCATCAGCATTGGACTCCGGACGTATTGATATCGTGGCCGAGTTTGGGTTGGTGAAGCTGGAACATTTGTTGCTAGCTATCAGGGTATCGAACTGACTTAGGCTGTGTTGATAGCATCAAACGCCATAGACTTAGACACTAAATAGATATTGCAGCATGAAGAATACTCGCATCACTTGTCCGAACTCCACCTGATGAACAGCAAGTTCGCAAATATGCCGAGGTCTACATAGTGTGTTTCGGATGATTACCACGAAGCTATATAGACACACTCCCTCGTCTGGAATATATTGTTCCATTCATCAAGTCAATTTCAACTATGAGCTATCTCATCAATCATTATCCTACAATGCCAAACTCTGGCCCCAAAACAACCACCCCCATTACTCCCTCAATCCCTTTCTAACCCCAGACCTCTCTGCCTATCCCTCCTTCCCCTCCACCTCCACTCCCCCGCCAACGCCAAACTACTACACACCACCGAGATGCTACTCAACGCCATCGCCAACGACGCCCACACGGGACTCAGCCGCCAATGCGTCGCCACACTCCCGTGACCATTCGCGGCCGCCTTATGCCCACTCACGATCGGATAAAACACCCCCGCCGCCACCGGCACCAGACAGCAGTTATACACCAACGCCCAGGCGAAATTCCACTTCACGCGGCGGAAGACGCGCCGGCTCAGGCGCACCAGCTGCAGGATAGCGTCGAGGTCCGCGTGCAGCAGGATAAAGCTGGCGGAGTTGATGGCGACGTCGGAGCCCGTGGCCAGGGCGATGCTGACGTCCGCGGCGGTCAGGGCGGGGGAGTCGTTGATGCCGTCGCCGACGAAGGCGACAATTTTTCTGCGGCTGGTGGGGGTGGATTGGGATTCGAGGTCTGTTGCGGACGCGGTGTTCTGGACGGAGCGGATGAAGGAGGATTTGCCGGCGGGGGTGACGTTGGCTTGGACGTTGGTGTCCGGGATGCCGAGTTGGGAGGCGACGGCGAGGGCGGTGGTGCGGTTGTCGCCCGTGCACATGTAGACGGAGATTTTGCGGCGGTGGAGGGCGCGGATGATCCGGGCGGCGGAGGGGCGGATTGTGTCGGTTGTGGCGAGGAGGAGGGTTGGTGTGAAGGGTTGTTGGGGGTGGGATGAGTGGTGAGGGGCCGGAGGAGGAGGATGGCGGTGGACTTGCCGGCGGATTGATGCTTGGTGAGCCGGTTGGTGAGGTCGGTGAGGCTTGGGTCGGGGTCGTCGGGGTTGGTGTCGGTTAGGGCGTCCAGGAGGCGTTGGTTGCCGATGGCGGCTTCGAATTGTTGGCCACTGGTGTTTGTGGTGGTGGTGAGGGTGAAGGTGCCCTTCATGCCTTGGCCGGAGAGTTCCTCGATCTCGTCGACGCGGCAGACTTGGGTGGATGGCTTCTTCTCGCGGCAGAAGTTCGAGATGGCCCGGGCGATGGGGTGGTTGCTGCTCTCTTCGAGCTTGCGGGTGACGGTCCAGGCAATGGATATCAGGTCTGGGTCGGTGATGAGCTCTTCATGATCGGAGACCTGCAGGCTGCCTCCTTCGGTGAGGGTCCCGGTCTTGTCGAACACGATGGCGTCGAGACGACTCGCTTCTTGGAAGGCTTCGCCGCCGCCCTTCACCAAAATCCCCTGGCGAGCAGCCAGGCCGCCGCCAACGAAGAGCGCGGTGGGCGCGGCGAGGGCGAGGCCGCAGGGACAGGCGACGACAAAAACCGCGATCGCGAACTCCAGGCTCCAGAACGTCCAACCGCCGCGGCTGACGTCGAGGTAATCCTCGGGAAGCGTTCCAGATAGTCCCAGGGAGAGCCATATGACGAAGGTCAGGATGGCGATGAGGGTGATAGTCGGGACAAAGTGAGAGGTCAGGAGGTCTGCCACCCGCTCGAGCGGTGCTCGTCTGCTCTGGCCTTCTCGCACTACCGAGATGATTTGATCCAACATGGAAGAACTTCCAAGTGCAGTGACCTTGACATCGACGGGCTGTCCCATATTGACAGAGCCAGTATACACAGGGTCGCCCGCTGACTTGTGCACGGGTTTCGATTCGCCGGTCAATGAACTTTCGTCGAACTGATAGGAGCCGGTTCCGACTACCACTCCGTCGGCTGGGGGCGAGGTTCCGTGGGGGATGCTGACCACATCACCGATTTCCAGCATGTCGACACTGATCCGCTGGTAACCGCCGTCTTTGGGGTCGGCTCCTGTGTCTGCGCCTCCCTCAACACTTTCGGAGGCCTTGAGCAAGGCCTCACTTGGTCGCAGCTTTCCCAGCGATGCAACTGCGTCACCCGTCTTGGCCTTGCTGTATGCCTCCATGAAGCGCCCAGCAAGGATGAACATAGTCAAGAAGACCACCGTATCGAAGTAGGTGGAGCTATGAGTGTTGGATGAAGACCCCATCGAGGCATCCATGATCAGCACAGCCAGGGAGGAGACATACGCCACCGTGGTTCCAGCGGAGATCAGAAGATTCATACTACCAAAGCGATAGAACCTCCGCAGGGTCGGTACACGACTGCCCGGCCGCCAAAGCGAGTAGATCTCTTTCATCGCTCGCACGTGGAAAATGTCCGCCCCATAGAACATCACAGGTGTTGTCATGATGAAAAGTGCCCACTCGAGGCGCGACGCATCGCCCGCCCACATTGGCTCTTCGAGGTACTTGCGAGTGGGATTGTTCGACGACACCAAAGTCATGAATACGATCCCGAGTAAGAAAGTGGGGATAGCCACTGCCAAAACAAAGATGAACCGAGTAAGGAGGCGCCGTCTTTCGTGCCGTTGCATCGCTCGAGACCGATCCTCCACACTCGGCGGATGGTATACGGTGGCTGTGAATGACTCGTGCGATTTCCCAATGGTTTGCAGTATCGTTCTTATGGTGAGGGAGGGGGGTTTGGGCGTGTATGTTACGGTGAGAATGGGGTTATTGACGGAGAGCGCACCCTGCACCTTGACATTTGGCAGGTCTTCGACGGATTTGAAGATCTTCTCCGGGCAATGGCGACAGAACATGCCATCCACATGAACAGAAACCGTTCTTTCTTCAACGATCTCGCTCTCCTGAGATGAGCCCTTGGGAGAAACACTGTTGATCGAAGCATCGTACCCTAAGTCTTCGATCTTCTCCACGATAGCGTCAATATTGGTACGGTCCTGGAATTCGACTCTTCCGCTGTGGGTGAGGAGGTTGATGGAAACTTCTACCACGAAAGGCAGTTCTTCGAGCCCGCGAGCGACCGCGCCCGAGCAAGATCCACACGTCATGCCGCTGATGGCAATCTCTGCGATGTAAGTCGACGTAGGCCCCTTGCGTTTCGGAGGAACAGTCAGGCTCTGGACCTCATCGAGCGACGCTTCAAACCCGATATCCTCGATCTGCTCCACAATCTTCTCGGCATTTGCTCGCGGGCCACCAAAGACGATAGCCGCACTGTTCGTGAGTAGGTTGACGGTGATATCCTGAACAAAGTCGAGCTGCTTGACTTCGTCGGTGATGCTGTTTGCACACGAAGCACAGCTCATGCCGCCAATGCTCACGCGCGCATTGAATTTCTCTTCTGGTGACTGTGAAGCGCCATTCGCCGGAGAGGGTGACTGCGACGCCACCCTCTCTGTACAACTCCCAGGCACTGGCCGCTGGGACACGCGCCCGGCGACCTTGTCGTTCGACGGGTCGGTGCTAGAATCCGCGCTGGACTGGTCGCGCAGATTACCATTCGACAGATCGGCCTCAGCGGCAAGCCTCTCGAGCTCCTCCTGCCGGCAGGCATCGCAGTTCTCGATGTGTCGATTGCCCGGGGCCAAGGTTGCAGCATGCGCACCACCGGGTGGCTGTTGACTGGCCCCGGCAAAGATCGAGTCGCGGGATAGCCACGCGGTCGTGTCAAAGTCCGCGACGACGGAGCCCTTCGGTTCGTAGCTTGTAGCATGATGCACGTCGAAAGAGGCGTCAATCAGCGCTTTGGCCAGATCGGGCGGCTCCACGCCTGCGGTGTGCATGACGCGGACTTCGTGCGTGAGGACGGACACATCGACCTTGATCACGCCCGCAATGCCAGAAAGGACTTCATCGATGTAGGCGACGCAGGAGGCGCAGTGGATGTTGCTAACGAGGAATGTGCTTTTCAGTGACCGGGCGCTGAGTCCGGTCAGAGCGATGGCTCCGTTCCTCGTGGTGGGCTGCGACATGATTCATTCAACCACGAGGTGGCTGAAAAGGGATGGGATCTGAATAATGTTTGCCAGGAATGTTTGCGGCTGGTCCGGGGGACAGTGAGTTAGTCAGTCCATTCGTAATTCTCCGTGGTTGTCCTTGGCTCTTGGCTTGAATTGGAGGGAGATCGTGGGTATGGGCGAAGTTAAGTAAGGGGGGAAAGAATTTTCGAAAATTAGAGGGAGACGATGAAGAGCGACGGATGGTATCAGTAGCTGTGTTAGTTGAGTGATATCATTTATAATCATGGTTGGGGAGCAGGAGGCAACCTTGCGCGTTTTGTGCGCGAAAGACTCTGAAGCTCTAAAGAACGCACAAATCGCGCATTCCAGAACGAAGCCCGGATGAGTAAGGAAAACTTCTATGCTGCAAGGCTGATTTGACCCGACAAACAGGTCAATTAGTTAGAACTATACACCGGGCTCAGTAGGCTATGCATCATGAACAAAAAGCAGAGCCTGATTCTACAATTTGCGTCTTAGAGATGATGTTGAGGCAATGAGGTTCCTTAGGCTGTTCCAGAGTGCGGAGGACTGAGTGGCAAAAAGCTTGAATGCATCGAGATCTCATTAGAATATGCCTACTCGTTCGTAGTACTAGGCAGTCTATACAGTCCACCGCAACGTATCCTACCATACTACTGCCCATTATCTTTTTGCTCGCTCGACAATGCTGTAGACTAGATCGTAATTCCATAGAACATTGAAATAATCAAACTCGCCCGCAAACGGCAGAAGGTGGGTCGCTTCGACCAAGAAAGCCCCTTCACAAATCAGCGCCATTGTAGAGTGTCATGCAGGCTGGAGAACAGGAAAGCCGAGACAGACATGATTCCCAGGTAGCAATGAGAGGGGTAGAATGGAGAGAAGAGAAAGACGAGAGAGACGATACGCATGGTGGAAAATGCAAAAGAAGAAGAAGAGAGCGGAAGGAGGATCGAACGGGAGTCATGGGAGAGTTTCACAACTCTCTACGCGTGGACGCGACACGTGACCTTTCCGCTGGGCCACCGCGTCCTCCCCATCGCAATTTTCACCTCACTCTTTCTCCCCCTCCATCTTCCTTCCATCTCCAACCAAAAAAAACACTTATCGCGACTTTCACCACTTTACAACGCGTGTCGACACGTCTTATCTTTTTCGCGATCTTACAGAGACATTCAACACCACCACTCTTCCTCCCTGACTATTCGCACCAGAGTAACATAGTCATCGGTGCAGCTGCAAGATCTGCGCGGAGTTACCCCGCACCTCCCCTTTCATTGTCATCCCTTATTATCCATTTTTCCCAAGCTCTCTCTCTCTACCTACTCTTTCATACTCTCGATATCCCCGAACTCCGGCTTTGGTTCGGAACTCCCGCCGATCTCATCTCAACCATTTATCTACGCCAATTCAAGCATATGGCGTAACATCTAGCGCAATTATCGACCTCATTTCAAGCCCCTTGTCCCTTCTTCGCGGGGCAATCCCCTCACGCTTATTTTCATCATGTCCGTCCCAAGACCTGGAATGCGGCCTATGCCGCCCAGAACTGGCCCCAGAGCGCCCCCAATGGGACGTCTGGCCAGTCTCAAGCCAACAGGCTCAACCCCTATCAGGCGGCCACAGCCGATTTCCCGGCCTCAACCGGTCAGGCCGACTACCCATCCCAAGACGACTACCTGTCCTAACCCAGGCTGTCCGGCCCCTCATATCGTCGAGGATGAGGGCCAGAAGGTCTGTTCCGGGTGTGGTACTGTCATTAGTGAGGCAAACATTGTCTCCGAAGTCACCTTCGGTGAAACGTCCTCCGGTGCTGCCGTCGTTCAGGGAACATTTGTCGGTGAAGATCAGTCCCATGTTCGCAGCACGGGCCCTGGCCGATTCCATGGAGGCACAGAGAGCCGTGAGCTTACTGAAGCCAACGGTAATCGGTACATCACGCAGCTGTCTCGCGCCTTGATGATCCCAGAGAGTGCCTCAAAGGCAGCCACTCAGGTGTTCAAGCTGGCCGTCGGCCTGAATTTCATTCAAGGTCGTAGAACCAAGACTGTCGCCGCGGTCAGCTTGTACATCGCCTGCCGTCGACAGGACGGCAACACGGTCATGCTCATCGATTTTGCTGATGTGCTCATGCTGAACGTCTTCAAGTTAGGTCGGACGTACAAGGCCTTGTTGGAGGAGCTACGCCTCGGAGGCACCATCTTCCTCATGAACCCCATTGATCCCGAGAGTCTGATTTATAGATTTGCCAAACAACTTGAATTCGGACCTAGCACGATGCAGGTCGCTAGCGAAGCTGTGCGCATTGTGCAGCGCATGAACCGCGACTGGATGACTACAGGTCGTCGTCCTGCTGGTATCTGTGGTGCAGCGCTGATTCTTGCTGCCCGCATGAACAACTTTCGCCGCACAGTCCGGGAAGTTGTCTACGTGGTGAAAGTCACCGAGATCACGATCAGTCAACGACTCAACGAATTTAGCTCGACCGAGAGTGGTGAGCTAACCGTCGATCAATTCCGTTCGGTTCAACTGGAAAACGCACACGACCCGCCCTCATTTGCTCGATCCAGAGAGGGTCGGAAACCATCGCGGTCCTTCAAGAGAAAACCCGCCGAGACTGCGGCTGAAATCGAGGGCGACGTACCGGAGGCGCAGCAGCCCAGACGGGTCGACTCCGATGGCTTCGCGATCCCCAACCTTCCCATTGACCCGGCGTTGATGGCAACCAATCTCAGCCAAAGACGGCAGTCGACTGCCTCCGTCACCAGCGATGCGACGTCCGAATTCGGAGAAGACGCCCCGGCAGGTCGCCCCAAGGGGAAAAGACCTCAACTCCCCCTTCCATCGCCCGAACAGGTTGCGTCTGAAGAGGCGCTTGAAAATGAAATGGCCTCCTATTTGACACAGGGCTCGAATATGGTCGAAAGCACTGTCATTCCGCCCAAGCCAGCAGTGTCGGACAGCACAGAAATTGATGCTGCCGAGTTCGAGTCAGACCCAGAAGTGGCCCATTGCTTGCTGACTCCCGCCGAAGTCGAAATCAAGGAGCGAATTTGGGTGCATGAAAACAAAGATTACCTACGAGCACAGCAGGCCAAAGCCTTGAAACGCGCCCTAGCAGAAGCTGAAAACCAGCCTGGCGCCGACGGCCGAGTCAACAAGCCCCGGAAACGCCGCAAGGGAAGATTGGGAGATGTCACGTATCTCGAAGGAGAAGGAGAAGATGGCGATGGACGAAGTACTCGTGCCTCCACCCCTGCTGAAGCGACTCGGCGAATGTTGGAACGCAGAGGGTTCAGTAAAAAGATCAACTACCGACTTTTGGATTCTCTTTTCGACGATGGAGGCGCTGACGAATCTTCGAAAGCGAAGGCCGAGAGTCTCAGTCGAAGCCGAAGTCGTAGTCAGAGTGTGTTTTCGAGGCGCAGCGCTAGTATCGAACCTGAAGCGGTCACTCGGCGAGCTGGACTTGCAACCGCTTCGACAGCATCGCCTTCTGTGCCTGCGGTGTCGTCCACGGTGCCACCTGCAGTGCGTGAACCCGCACAGCAAGGAGCTCAGCCCGGCCCCACAACCACCACAACAGAGAGACCGGCTGCGAACGAGGAGGCCCTGGGCCCTGCTGCCGGTGAGAAAAGTGGTTATTCAGACGATGAACAGGAGGAAGACGACTATGACGACGACGAGGACGCGGAGGACGGTGTTGAGGCGGCTTTCGCAGGACACTACGGAGACTACTACGATGAAGGAAGTGATTACTATGATAGTGACTGAGTTTAGAGTCAGAAGCAGATCATCTTGGAAACCGATAAGATCTCCAGGGCATGTATATATAGCTAAAACATAGCTTCCACTAGCTGACAACGAACTAATAACTACCATTCCAGGTTTGATCGACCTTTCAATAAACAGTAAGAACCGATTCCAAGCCTAAGCTGAGCTGACGACCTCAACGGATTGAATGAATTTCAAAGCCCCTACTTTGGCCTAATATGGACTGAGCTGAGGATTTGACCACCTTCCTGTTATGTGAATATCACGTGAGACCGGATAGTCTTGACAACAACCGCCTCGATATTTCGTCTGTCTTGCTTGAGTCTGGCCAGTTCTTGAAATCAGCCTTAGAACTCTGAGGCTTGCAGCATACATGGGCGCAGTCTCAGCCTGGACGCCTCAAACGATAAGAGAGCAGCTCCTCGCCCATGACCGTCATCAAAGCGCCCCAGAACTACAACGCTGGCTTCTCGGCAATGAGAGGAGGCTTCTTCAGGCAGAGGGACTCCCCAGAACCTTCTAAGCTCTAGTCAATAACAAGGCAAGGGGTATTTGACCTTGTTGGACTCTGAAAGATGCTGCCAAGGTTCACATTTAGGCAGCTGCTCCATGGAAACCCCTGCTAGAGCTATACCTTCGCTCACCACCTCCCCACTCGAAAGATTTACACTTCAAGTACAACGTCAATTCTGAATCGGATGACCACGATACCTTGCTGGTGATCTTTGGTTACACCCTCGCCTCCTTGAAACCGCGACTCCATGTCCAGATATAGCGTCGTTCCCAGTCGGAAGTCAACCTTCCGTGAGCCATGAGGAATGTGTGAGGCAGGGTTTCTCCCCGATACAGAATGCACGAGACAGCCGGATAGAATTACTGGATGTTACCATAATCGTCGTCTGACTCTGGGATCCTCGCACTATGGCTCCTGCCCACCGTACTTTTGTGGTAACTCCGGTATAGAGCCGAAGCCTTTGGTATGGAGGGTCGTCGCTTGGTCTCTAAGAGGTTAGTATGGCTTCAGCTATCGGTCCCAGATTAGCTACTTGCTCCAGGGAAGTCGGCCAGCAAGTCGTCATGCTACGTTGGCTCTCGTGCACCAAGTCCATGTGTCCCGGATCCACAGCCAGCCCACTCCGCGTTGAGCCCCCTTACTATCGTCGTCAATGGCAATCCAGTTCTTCAGGACTACATACGTATAAATACTGCCTGAGATATTGACGGTTGTGCCGATTATCTGCGCTTGCTCAAGCTTGCCCCATACCTATTCTTCTGACGGGGATAATGGCGAAGCTCAACATTTATGGCCGAGGCTTCGGCCTTCGCATGGCTATCTTGTTCACTTGCCAGTTAGCGTTTGTTCTTTTCGGTGGGTTACTTCGAACTGGTCTCAAAAAGTGCGGTGCGGCTGACTTGGTTCTTGGTGTTTTACAGGTTACAATCAGGGGATATACTCGGGGATTGTGTCAAATGAGGATTTCCTTGCCGTGGTGGACAACCCTGGTTCGGGCATGGTGGGATTCATAGTTGGCATATACAACCTGGGATGTCTGGTTGGGACGGTGATCTCCTTCCTACGGAGTGATAAGCTTGGATTTCGAAGGTCGATGTGGTTCTCGATGGCTGTGATTATGGTGTGTAAGTGTCTATATGTCAGTGACGAGGACTATGCTAACACGGACGAATTCCTTGTCGTGCAGATTGGAGGCACAGCCCAAACCTGTTCCTTTTCTAGGACTCAGATACTCGTGACCCGCTTCTTCACGGGCATTGGAACCGGTGTGATGACAGCAGCCGTGCCGGTGTATCAATCGGAATTATGTGATGCACGGAAACGAGGAATGTATGTCTGCAGCCAGCCTCTTGCAGTCAGTATCGGCATTTGCGTGGCCTACTGGTTCGACTACGGGTTGAGCTATGTCAACGGCTCTATCAGCTGGAGACTCCCGATTGCTTGCCAGCTTCTCCTCGCAGCTGGTGTGTCTGTTCTTATCCTTGGGTAAGCTCCCACTTCGTTAGACGTAGTTGGTGATCACAGTGCATCTGACGATAGCTAGCCTCCCTGAGAGTCCCCGATGGCTGTATCGCCATAAAAAGGAGGACGCAGCATTGCGTGTGCTCTGCGACTTCTACGACCGGCAAGCGGATGACCCGAAAGTCATCCAGGAAGCAGAAGGAATCCGCCGAGCCATCGAAGCTGACAACGCTCGAGGGGAGTACAAATGGTCTCAGATCTTCAAGAAGGATGAGCTTCACACCGGTCGACGAGTCTTGCTGGCCTATGGGCTGCAATTTATTAACCAGATGGGTGGTGTCAACCTGATAGTCGTAAGTTGAGACAGCTCGAGACAACCACCATCACTACTGACATCTTGCTAGACCTATTCGACAATAGGTAGAAGCCCAACATTCACCACCCACCCGCGCGATGGCTACTGACACTTTGCCGCCTTAGTTCTCCAATACAACGTGGGCCTCGATGCCAAGCTCAGTCTATTACTGGGCGGAGTGATCGAACTCATGTTTGTCATAGGTATGTTCTCTCCTTTGAGACCATGATTGGATCATCGGGACGAGGACCGTTAACCACCTGCACCCCAGGCTCCTTTTATCCCACCTTCTACGCCGATCGCCTGGGACGTCGTGGCCCAATGATGTGGGGATCATTTGGCCAGTTCCTGTGCATGCTTCTGATCTCCATTCTTCTATCGTTCAAAGGTAAAAATAAAAGTCCCAGCCTCTTCCGTTGTGGATTGCCAAATCAGGCAAATGGTCGAACTATCAGGGATCCTAAATTCCGTCTTCCCAGGAACCGATCTCGAAAGAGCAACGGCCACGGCGTCAGTGCCATTCTTCTTCCTCTTCATGCTCATCTTCGGAGCCTCCATCAACTGCATACCGTGGGTGTATGGACCGGAGATCCTTCCCCTGCATGTCCGCAACAAAGGGTACGAAATGCTCCCGCCCCCAACCTCAATGAAACTGCACCCACCACATTCCAGCCGGTGGCTCCCCTGCCAACTCAACTCCATCCCAGGAGAAAAGCTGGGAGAACGATAACGAGAGCTATTTTTAATTCCCGATTCTAGGTCCGCCATCGGTATCTCGGCAAATTGGCTTTGGAATTTCTTCGTCGCCATGATCGCGCCCGTCCTCATCAAGGATCTGGAATGGAAGGGGTATCTTATCTTCATGTGTTTCAACTTGCTGTTCGTGCCGGTGAGTTTGTTGATCTTTCCCTATGCTTCTGTGTGTTTGGCTTGCGTGGTGTCCAGTCTAATGCGGGAGGGGCTGGGCCAGATCATCTATTTCTACTACCCTGAGACGGCGAACATGAGTCTCGAAAACATCGACCAACTCTTCATGGATAAGAAGCCGTATCAACCGGAAGGATCGAGTGAGAATACTAAAGGATCGGTGACTTGCACGGAGGTTACGGAGATCAAGCCAGCGATTTAGGTGACATTGAGGTAAGATCCTCGAGGAGTGAATCGGATGTGAAAGGGCCTCTGTGTGGTGAGCAGAGACTCGATGAGGCGGTAGGAGGGATAGTTCGTTGGGATGGATGTGAATGTGAGACGATAGGATGTGCGTTGTTTGTGTGAAGGGTCAGAGTTGGTTTGTCGTAGTTCAAGACAGAATTTAGCAAATAGTTTATATCCTGTAGAGCCGAATACTAGACAAGTTAATCGTTCCACCACGGTATACACCGGAATAACAGTTGTGAGGATGAACCCCTTGAGACATGTACTTGGATGTGTTATCTGATTATATGGTGGGTTTTTCACTACTTATACTCAGTCGCTGGCTTCCTTAGTATCAGTCGCGTCCCATACTAGGTAGAGGTAGTCTCTCCTCGCTATGACCCCTCCACTCCTCAGCCACCTAAAGAGCCTGAACCAAACGCAGAAAGTAGTGCAGGAAGTCTATAGGCTCACCCTTTCCTTTATGATCTATAGGCCATACTCCGAAGCCCCGTCCATTATCCTGTAGTGCATGCATGACGCTGACCCTGCCTGCCCATCCATCCGCAAACTCACCTATCAGTTTTCTCTCTTGGAGTATAGCTATTATTCTCACAATAGAATAGTTCCCCTTCTCGCTTCTAGAAGAAAGAGAAAAAGAGCATGTTCTGACTATGTTTAGACTTGCCTACCTTGGGAATTTCAGTACATACACAACATCGCCCATAATTCCCACGCCCCCTCTGCAGGCAGGTCCAGAAACCAAAAAACAACAACAACGACACACGACCATGCTACGTTCTTGTAAACTAAGGCAGTTTGCACAGCACAGTACCGTCACTATCTATGCATGCGTTAACGCTGTACAGATGCCTGAACGAGAGTAGTCCCTTCTCCCTCCAGCTTCATGTTCGAACGATGGCCCTAGGGTACTGTACTGTACTGTACAGTATCAAGATGGATAACTTATAAGTTAGTAGGCACAGTTGGCATAGGCATGGGCATGGGAAGCTAAGAGCCAAGCCCTAACTAACCCCGCCGCTGCCGCTGGGGTTGCGGACGCAGGGGTACAACAGTATACTATACTGCAGTTATAGCAAGTAACGTCGATTTGCAGCCTCGAAGTCACTCATTATCTATAGGACCGTGCGTTCGTTTACATGGCCTGAGAGAGAGACTCGGGCGATGATGTCGGTTGATTTACGGGGTTGTTGATTGCGGGGGAGGGAGGGTACGGTGCAGTACATACGGTAAGTACAGTAAGGATCACGGTTCCTGGGGTGTTCTTGAACTTCATAGGCTAGAAAACCAGCGTTGATACTGACTTATCCATAGGCAGACAAGCCTCAACAGAAAGAAAAAGAACGCAACACAGAAAGAGAGGTCGAGCAGGGCCAACTGCTGCTGCTGCTGCTGCTGCTGCTGCTGGTTCTTGTTCAGCATTCGGCATGACATCCATGGGAGAAGGATGCTCGGTCGGACCGGGCAGTAACTGCCATCTCGATTACGCGGACCACAACTGCTTAACTTATCATATATCTTCCTTTATGAGAGAGGAGTGTTCTGAGGACGGGGTTAAATTGAAGCGAGAGAACGAATTGGCAGTACTGCGAGATCTACCCTAGGGCAGGGGAGTATGGAGTAGCGGAGAAAGACGGACTGACCGCTCTTTCGATCTCGCCTCGACCCAACCATTCCAACCCAACCAACTTCCCCTCTTTCATTTTCTACACAACTTGACACTCTGCTCACTTTCGTCATTTCTCTATCTTTTCATATTTTCTTTCTGCTTTTTTCTTATATCAAAAAATGTTAAGATCATGTCGGATGTTGCATCAAAGACATGTCAAGGAAATATCAACAAACGAGAAGGAAACGAAAAGAAACCAAAGGCAAATATGAAAAATACAGAGTCGAAATGCCCATAACGGTCTCCCAATCCATGAGACAAGCCTTAACCCACCATGTCCCATACCGCCCAGTCCCGATACGCCGATGTCCAAGAAGAGAGAGAGAAAAAAAAAAGGAAAAGATTTCACAAACATATATCAATGAGATACGGACGGGCGTGATCGAAGAGAGGAATATGAAGTGCTGCCCGAAAACATGAGAATTAGGTTAGTCCGTCCGTGGTGCTTTTGCGTTCGCCTATGATCGAGGTCGTTGGATCGGTCTTTTGTCGGTTTGTACGCAAACTTTTGAAGATGTTGTCGTGGTTGCTGACCGGATGCTGCGCTGGCTTTACGTGTCAATCTCCATCCCCGTCCCCATTCCTACGCTGTTGTTCAACCCAGCACCAAGGCCGGTCTCAACCATGGTGGGCTGGGCACAGAGGGTTTGCAAGAGAGGTAGACCAGGCTCCTGCTGAGCGGCCCCAAGGAGATTCTGCGGGGCCGCGGAGGGAAGGCTCTGAGCAGGCCTGTCGGAAGCGCTAAGAATCTGGGTTCCTTCGAAGACAATAGGGTTGGACCGCAGATTTTGGAGGCAGAGGTCCCAGTTAGAGCCCACCAGTTGAGCCTGAGTGAGGTCATCGCTGAAGAGGAAGAAGGCAGGCACGAATGCAGGACCCATGGGCGTGACAGGACGTGCGGTCACGAGGTAGGCGTTCAATGCTCGGTTCTTCATGAGGATCTCGGAATCCATGAGGTATGCGGAAAACTGACGGTCGATGTACTTCTTCCAACCGCGCACAGCCGCCGCCATGTCTGAGTCTTCAGTCACGATCCGCTGCCAACTGATCCCCAACATGCGGGTAGCGTCGTCGACTGTGGGCTCCTCCGGAGAAAGGCGCGAGCTTGCGGGAAGAATGCGACGATTGTCATCAGTGTTGCTGGTATCGTTAAGCCGGCTCTGTATGGAGGAAAGGGTGATGTCGTCCACAGTCGGGGCGGAAGGATCGAGGCGCTGAGACTTGCGACTGAGAGGATCAGCCGCGCCGGATTGGAGCATCTGAGATCGAGAGGACACCGGAGCAGAATTGTTGACAGTTTTCTCCGCCGTCTCCTCGTACCACGTGCCGGTTTGACTTTCGGCAGAGATAGCCATCTTGGTACGAGGATTCAGCAGAACCATACCCGGGCCGTAAATGGGGTTTTCTGCTTCCTGCTTCGCAAGGGCTGGAGCTGGTACAACAGGTCCGCCCGAGCTTGGAACCTCATCGTCATACCCGACATCATCTCGCGACCTCTTGCGGGAGGGTCTGGCAGTGAAGGTATTGGATGACGTTGCAAACGCACGGGTGCCATTCGCGAAAAATGGCCCTCGGTGTGCATCAGCGCCAGGGCTGAAGCGGGACTGATGAGGATATTGAATAAAAGCGTGTTCCTGGGGGGGGGACAGGACCATGGCCGGGCCGTCGGAGAGGCTGTTGAGCATCATGGGACACATGACGAGCAGGGATTCGCCGCGGAACGCAGGAGACTACGAAAAGAGCTGGAAGACGGAATCTGTTCTGTCTAGTGAGCTGGACACAATAAGCTAGAACCACCTGTTTGAGCGCAAAGATCCGAGCTGTGAAGGGATCTAGCCCTAAGTGAAGGAGGTAAGATCGAACAGGTAGGCCACGAGGAGATGGTGTAAGGAAGAGACAGGATGAGAAGAGGATTGAAGGATTCAATCAGAGTAAAGCGAGATTGAAAGGGTGCGGGTGAATGTTGTAAATGATGTGATGAGGTGAGAAAGGGAAAAAGAGATGGATGGAGGAAGGAAGAGTAAGAGGAGAAGAGGAAGAGAAGACGGGAAGAGATAACAGAAGAGAAAGAGGGAGAAGGTAGGGTTATGCGAGACGGAGACAGGCAGCCAACAAGAGACGAAGAATCACGGGGTAGAGGAGGAGAAGGAAGACGATGAATGGATGAGTGGATGAAAGGGTTAAGCGACGCGTGAGAAACCCAAGAAAGAGAAGAGAGAGAGGGAGAGCTGAGAGGAATTGGCAGTGCACGGGAGGAAGAAAGATGGAGTGCTGCAAGTCAGTGTGGTGAGTGCAGGTAAGTGCAGGTGAGAGCTGACTGCTGACGGATGCGGAACCAGCGATTGCGATGCGGAGAGATTCCACGAAGAGCAGGATTTGCCTTGTCTCAGTTACTGCACAATACTGTAACTTGGGGGTAACTTACCCTCTCTGATTGGGGGTGGTCGGCTGGGATCAGCGCTGGTCGGATCCGCGTGTGACCGTACGGTACGGCGACAGAGTCAGGGCTGAGGCTAGGAGGCCTGAGGGATCCACCCACCCTCGGATCAAGCAGCACAGCAGCAGTAAGGACGGAGCCATTATTGGTCAATGGACGATTGCCTGGGGCAACCCATCCATGCAACTTGGGAGTGGAGATCGAGAGTGTTGGCTGTTCGTGATTGGATGACAGCGGCTGCTCCAAGAAAAGACCAGTCCGCGCGTCGCAGCCCTGACCTGAGGTCCTTGCCGACGCCACCGCCTACCATTATTGGCTTGTGCCCCCAAAAGACCTGATTGGTCCACAGCCAAGTGCGGACAATCCACCGAGACACTCTCCGGCTCGGAGAAATTCTCCCCGCCGATCACTATCACCATCACCATGACAATCTGCTCAACACGAAAAATGGAACGTCTATTTGGCTTGTATAACAGGGTGATGCTTCATCAGGTAGTAAAATATCGGGGGTGTCAAAAAAAGAAGAAAAGTGAAAAAAAGGTATAGTCACAAGAAGGTGGTGTCAAACACAACATAGATATCGAAGGGGAATATGAAGCACAAGAGGTGATGACCAGACAGATAAGCATCCAACTCCAGTCCCTCCTGCATATTAGGCATTTCGCAAACATTTGTTCATCATCGCAGCCCACGAAACAATACACCAGCAAATTCCCTCTAAGATTTGAAACACCGGGATTCAGAAAAATGTAAGGAAAAAAAAAAAAAAGGAAAGACCGAAGGAATAGTTCAAAGGCACCGGAAGATGAGCGCTTCCGAGCCCTGAGCTTGACTAGGCACAAGCTACATTCCCCGCATGTGGCCGGCCCAGACAACCCCATCACCCTCCGGAATCTCCATCCCAAAGGGGAACATTATCTTAGGCCAATCGAAGCCCTGCATATCCAAACATGATTTTTTTTTCAACAAACAGATGATACCGGGAAACTTTTGGCCTCCGTTTCATCGTCCCACAATCAGTCCGCGAGCACCGCATCGTAGATTGAATAACGGACTCAGCGAGCCCAAGCGATACCACTAGCATAGGGGCAGGCGAGAAACTGCGCGCGAGCCCCTCTAAGCATTGCCGGCAGTGGCTCCACCGAGCATTCCCTTTACACTGGCGACCTGCTCGGGAGCATAGCTGGGAGCCATGGATCCCATGAGCAGGAAGAAGATCAGTAGACCGGCACCAATAATGATGAACTTGCGCTGGGCGGGATGAGTGACACCATACTCGGCCCAGGCGCGGTTGGCCTGACCAGCATACTCCTTGATCTTGTCACCGCCAAGCTTGTAGTAGACGAGACCGACGAGGGCGATGGAGTAACCGAAGAACTGGAGGCCAGTAACGGGAGTCTGCCAGATCATCATGGAGGCGACGACGAGGAGGATATCCTTGAGGACACCGCAAAGCGTCATCACAAGCGAAGAGGTCTTGCCAATCTATAGGCGGGTGTTAGTAGCTAGACCAGATCGACAAAAGGACGATCGCGACTTACCAGGAAGACAACGGAAACGTTGAGGAGGAAAGCAACGACAGCATTGGCCAGCAAGGTCCACACACCAACGTTGTAGACGTGGGCCATGGTCAGGTTGGGAACCTCAAGGAACAAAGCGGTGACACCATTCATGACAGCACACACAGGAGCGAAGTAGTAGAGAGACACGAGAGGATCCATCTTGTACTCGGCAGAGCTGAGCAGGCGCTGGACCATGACCAGACGAGTAGCCTCGAAGATGATACCGCCAATCTGGAACAGGAAACCAATCATGACGAACTTGATCTCACCGAAAGAGGCAATGACGACACCAACAACAATGATGCTCACGTTCATGAGCACCTTGTAGTTCACAGGAGCCATGCCCATACCCCAGGTAGCGAACAGAACAGCAACGGGTGTGGTGGCCTGGAAAATTCAATCAGCAATCTGATCGACCAAAGATGAAGTATAATCAACGAACCTTGAGCATCTGGATAAAAGCAACACTCAGGTACAAGTATGTCACGTTACCGCAAATCAAGCTCAGACTGAAGAACAAGCCGATGGGAACGATAGCGCGGAGATAGACGCGACCAGTCATCTTGACCGTCTTGCGGCCGTCGAGCAGAGTGGTGGTGCGAGCGAGGAGTTGGGTCATGAAGGTCGCAAAGGCCAAGTGCCATGTCGTAAGGATGATAGGGAAACCTATGATGGCGCAAGTCCAGAGATTAGTCGGGGAAGTGCAGTGGGGAAGAAATCAAGGTAAACTCACGAAATTGAGCATAGTCAAGGATATGCTTGTTGAACAAGATGACACTGGAACTCAAGGCGATCCAGACGCTGATTGTTCATGAGTACCACTACGTAGTAACAGCTTGAAGTAGTTTTTGAGCAACTTACCTGACATAGACGGCTGGGTGGAAGGCAGGCTTGGGAGGCTCCGACTTATCAACGGCAGGGTTGACAGTGGGCAGAGTAGGCTCCGGACGAGAGACCTCACCGGAGGTTCTAACCTTTTCACCTTCGGAACTCATGGTGAAGATTGGAGTCTGGTCGGATAAGAAGCGTTGGAAGTCGAATGGGCGCGGCCGTAAAAGGCTGCTTTGTCCAAATTTCGCAGATGCCAGGAGTGATAATTAAAACAAGGGAAAAAGAAAAAGAGGTGAGCGAGGGCAGCAGGGAGAGGGTCTGTGGTCAAGATGATGGTTAACGAGTGAGATTGGAGTTGGTCCGAATAACGATAAGAAGAAAGACAAAAGAACTGAAAGGCAAGGGGAAGGACGATAGAGGTGTGAAACTCAATGTCTGAGGATGGAGGGAAGAAAAGAAGAAGAGCGTGGAGGAAGAGGGGAGAGGAAGCAGGGAAGGAGAGAGGGGGGTAGTGGACGAGAGGAAGAGGGCTGATCAAACCGATCGGATGGATTGGGGTACGTATGTGTCTGGCTTGTCCGTCGAATAATAAGGATGATATGGGATGGGTGGTTCGGAACTGGTTCGGGATGGGGGTAGATTCAGGAAGAGGGGGGGCACCTACGGATTGTTTCTTGTTGGTTCGCTCCCAGGGTAGGGGTGAAGCTGTGAACACGGCACGGATAATTGAATCTTAGGAGGGGCGAAAGAGTAGAGCAGAAGAGAAGAAGAATAGACAAGGAAGAAGACGAAAGAAGAAGAGCACGGAGACCGAGAGCAGAGAGGGTGGTTGGCTGGGGATTCCGCCTCCACTAAGTTGTTGTTCGGTGAAGTGAAGTTGGAGAGCAGAGAGGGAACGGATGGAAAAGGGAAAGTGAAGGGAAGGATGGGGCGGACCAGTACCTTGTCGGGGGTCCAGTTAGTGTTAGACTGTTAGAGTGAGGGAAGTCAAGCTTCCCATCCAGTTCCATCCACTGCCCGGCACCCACTCTTCCCTTCCCAAGTTTAGCGGCCGGCCCTGCAGTCTCCGTTCCTCGTCGCTGCAAGCATCCTGCCGGAACTGCAACTGTTCCTGATTTACTACCTACTAAGTCACCGCCTATACTACCATGCAGTCACAATACATCTATCTCTAACTATCGGCGATGTTCCTCTTAATGAAACCTATCAATCACATTGAAATGTTACCATCATCATCCTGATTCCGGGTGGATAAAGAAGCACACACACACACACACACACACACACACACACACAAAGCCTTGATCGAATCAGAGGCCTGGACAATATAATCAAGTTAATCAAATATTAAATGAATAATGAACGACCCAGGCGGCTGGTGGTGGTCGGCCTTTTTTTCTGATAGACTGGTACCCTAATGTAAGCCACCAGGATTTATTATTAGATCTCCAGTCCCAGGCTCTCAGTCTATCACGGTCTATCACTTGTTTCCCATGACTACCTCATTCATCTCACTGGTTCTGACGGGCGATTTCGAGTTCTGGCCTGAGTTGAAGTAGAACAATTGAGGGGCCAAAAGAGAGAAAGTGGAGTGTGTGGATGGACTGGGTCCAACTCACTGCACTGGGAAAGGATCAATACCCGAGGAGGAAAGGTGGCGTGTACTAAATAATACTATTACTGTTTTCTACATCGTTACCCCTAGATTTCCCAGTCTGGGATCGGTGCTAGCTACGTACCAATACCTGTATCGTAGATACAAGTACTGTATCTCTCTCTCCTCCGCAGTCTGAGGGTCTCGATCTCCTGGAGTGCATCTCCATCGATTCTACATTTCTTCGACAGAACCATTTCTGGCACATCCAGG